AAATTTTTTGCAGCTCAAAGCAGTAGAAGACAAAAACAGAGCCAATAGATTTTTTTTAAGAGTTGGAAAGAAATACATTTTTTTCAGTGGGTAAAATATTTGAAAATAGAGTTATTGTTAAAATTAAAAATGTGAATTATGGTTTTTGGTAGAAAAACTAGAGTTTTTCTTAGCCCAAGTATTTTCTATTTTTTTATAAATATGATGTTCATGATCTAAATCTTCACCCAATGCTTATATAATACTTGTTGTTATCGTTAATGCTGTTTAGGAGGGTTTTTTTTATCTTTCTCGAAACATGTTTTTAAAACGATGACTCATCTTAGCCTTTGATTTGCCCTCAAAATATTGATACAGCTGGTTTCCAGGAACCATTTCTGCTCCAAGGTTTCCAGAATCTGCAGGTTTTCATTGCGATGGCTGAACCGTCTTGATTAGGTAACGACATTGATTGGCTAACGAGGCCACTCACTCACTGCTAATTAAACATGGGAACAGCAAAGCGGGGGGGCCGAGGCAGGATTCAGCAACCAAACGTCTTCAGCAGGATTTAATGAGCGTCTCTGCCGCCGCAGCCTGATCCGTCCATCACGGTGTTCTTCCTGTCCGCCCTCCATCTGTTCCCTCCCTGCAGGAGTTCTCCTTTTCTCAGGTGTGGGCCGGGAACCAGAGTCCCCTGCAGTGTGCCTTCTCTTTGGAGCGATACAGCCTCTCCTCGTCTCAGCTCTCCTGCAAGATCAGCGTCCGACAGGTGGCAGGAGAGGAGCACCTTCTGCAGATTTACACGTCTGTAGTAGAGGTGAGTCGTGGAGGAGGGCCGTGTCCGATCACTCGTTATAGATGTTGTTGATTTCATTTATGAGCTTGTTTAATGAGCTCCCCATGGAGGGTTTTATAAAGGGATCCCTGGTTATCACCAGCAGCCAAAGGGCAAAAGACAAGTAAAAATGTTTTTACCTGTCGGTCAGTTAGTTAAATCTTTCATGAATCAAAGGGCAGATTTTATTAAAAGGTTCGGGTTGACATCTACAACAGATTACCTTTTGCAAACAGTCCAATTCAGTGCAGAAAACTGCCCTTAGAAAATACAAAACTGTGATTTCTAAAAGGGATAACTCAGTCAATTTTACAAATATTAAACAAAAATCTGTTGTGGTTCAGAGTCGTCTCCAACTTGTACTCTGAGCCTTAACTGATTGCCAGTGGCGCCTGCAAAAACAATTTTCAGGGGGGACCATGGGGG